TGCTCGGTGAGAAACGATGTAAGCAAGACATTTTGAATCTCTTTATTCTTTTAATTCTTCTCTGTGATTGGCTCTAAAAGTCCATTTTACCCGTTCCTCTCGTCTGATTATGTTTATTCCGTGACTTAGAGAATTAGGCGGAAAACCGATTCCGCTCGGGATTCATAATAGCAAAACCGCATGAGCGGAAACTGGCCAGTCGGAATCTCGCGTTTCCGATCGGAATTGCAAAATTTTCGTGATAGGTGAAAATGGATGAATTTGAATGGAAAGGATTGAAATACACGAAAATTTGAAGACAATCAGAGTGTTCTAAAATTGATTACAAATGAACGGTTAAGCATTAGAATAAAACATATAGATACAAAAATTTATTTAAAAAAAAATCACGTAAAAAAGAAAGATATTGTATGTGAATATTGTCCCACTAAAACGATGTTAACTGATTTATTAACAAAAGGCTTAGCTAAAAATAAATGTATTAAGTTGAGAGACTATTACAATTTGGTTCATATCAATTAAGGCGATGCCGGAATACCGACATTTGCATTCTAAGTAATAATTCCGAAACGACTGAACGGATTTGAAAACGCTTTTACAGAATTGAAATAGAGATAAAATGTAAACGCGCGAATTATATATTTGTAGTAAAAACAAAAAATATTAAAAAATTACCTTTTTTGGGGTATCATAACCTTTCACCTGACCTGACGTAAACATTTCATTGATACAAAAGTTCTGTAGCTCATATGTACAAAAAAAGTAATTCGCGCGCATCGGATTACTTGCACGTGTTACGTCCAGACCCCAGGATATTTAATTCGATAGTTTGAGTGAGAGAGAGAGAGTAAATCCCGTGTGAAAACGTGATGGGACTGGAAGTGGAGGGGGTAAGGAATGACGTAACTAGATAAGCTGTCTCGCAGGTACGCGCAGAGGCGGACGATGCGAGTCGAAGGCGCTTTTGCAAGGGTTCGAAAACGAGTCAATGTCCTTAGAAGGACACTATTAC